AAAAAAAAATGACTGGACCAAGTGTCCAAAGTGTTAGCTTACTTACCATGTTAGGCTGAGTGAGTCAAGGCATAAAGATTTTTATGTCCTTACCTACAAGGTTTTTCTGATCATCTATGGCCTACCAATCAATCAGATTATCTGGGGGGGAAAGTGTCCTATAAATTAAGATACTTTTGTTAACATAAAATGTTCTTATAATTATTTTATATAATTTACAACTCAGCGGTTTTGACAGTTTCTACTAAGGCATATAATTTGAAAATAATGTCTCAAATGTAAAAGCCTTGCACTAACGGATGTTACGCTGTATAGCAGCTGTTGCAATGAAATGGACTTACCAGCTACTTCTCCCCTTATAGGACATTGCTTTCTTCAATCAATCAACATGAATGCAGTGGCAGACACAGCCATCTTTTTTGGAAAGTTTCTATACTACTTTTTAGAATCTTTAGTCTTCAAGATAATCCCTAAAGGAAAAAAGAACGTTTCCGGAGAGATTGTACTTATAACAGGAGCTGGGAGTGGACTGGGAAGGTTACTGGCCATACATTTCGCCAGCCATGGGGCCAATTTAGTTCTCTGGGATATTAATCAAGAAGGCAATCTGGAAACCTGTAGACTGGCCAAGGAAAAAGGTGACGTGAAAGTCTATGCTTATAAATGTGACTGCAGCGACAGGAAAGAGGTCTACAGGGTTGCTGACAAGGTGAGCTCATCGCTGCTCTTTGCTTCTGAGAGAATTGCTTCTAACCTGCACTTTTACTAAGACAATGGGGGAGTGGTTTTGATATAAGAGACTGCTATGTACTTGTAGTTTAATTCTGTTGGTCTTAAGTATGACTCCATAGCCTAAAACAGGAGTAGGAGTAGGGCTAGTTCTGGCTTCAGAGCCCAGTGCAGTCTGACTGCTTTGCTTCATGACTCACTCACTTCAGAGCCCGGTCCTGCCTGGCATCTCTGCTCAGTGATTGGGAGACACTCTGCCTAGCCCCATGTCTCCTGATTTAGTTGTGCAACTTTTGCCTTTCAACACCACCCCCGTCTCCACATCTGTGAAATGAAAAGCTGCTGGTTGGTAAGATCATGTGCTGTTTTAACTTCCTTTTGTTTCATGACTTTGATGACACTGAAATCCCACCCCATCTTTTGGCAAGCCTATTGCCATATTGTGTTTTTTGAACACAGTATATGAAGTATGCGGGGGAAAATCCCTCCGTGTGCAAAAGTTCTTGCCACACTTCACCTATTGGTGGCTCTAACTGCGTGTGGGATGTTCATGTTGTCCTTAGCCCCCTTGGCAGACACAGCACATAGGAGACCACCAATGAAAATATCAGTGTGGCACGAAGGGGATGGAAACTGCAGGCAGACACCTTGAGGTTCTCTCCACAGAAGAGAGCAGGCAAGCTATTTAGCAACTGGACAATCTGGGTGATTTCAAAGGGCTCTCTGGCGTAGAGACATCTTGGTTTCCTGATCAATGACTTGACTGAAATAGACTCGTTAGTAGCCTAGATTGTGGCAATTCTATTAAGGGAAGCAGCTGGTCACACGGAATTAATCATGCACCAGCCTAGAGTCGGAGCTAATTCAAAATATAAGTGTATTTTGCTACCACCTTTCCTATTAAGCAGAAGAAGCAGCCGTGGAGCTCTGAACATGCAGCTTACCCAAGATTACAGGGCAAAAACTGGCAAGAGACAGGGTCATAGCCAGGTAGCTGGGAGTCAAGACGTACATAGAGTTTGACCACAAAATCTCCAAGAGATTTCTTTGTAATCCAATTTCTACTGATGAGATTACACTTTTTTATTTATTCAAAATTAATTGTTAAGTTATTACACCATGACACTATCTGAACCCCTATCTCCATACTTCTTTACCTTCTTCTCTTTCTTTGTTTGGGGACCCACAGAATTTGCATTTTTGGAACTCACGGATAGCTAATAACAATGTGAGAAGCTCCTGGTTCAATTTTGGTACAGAACAGGAGAAATCAAAGTTCATCCTCATTTTGCAAAAAGGAAAAAAAAAATATGTCAGGAAGAGCTCCTAGAAGAATGCATTCAAGGTGAACTTAATGTAATCTGTTTCATAAGGGCTCCTGTCTCAAAACCAGGCCCAAGTGAGTTCAGGGTGCCTGGAAAGGCCTTTGCCTCTATCTCTGATCATATATAAATTTCACAATGAAACAAGGAACTATCATTTTGCTACTTTGTCCATGTTGAAACAGAGGCAGGGAAAGCTGAAGGAACTGTGTCATGTATCAGAAAACTAATGGACATAAAGTGGCCCTAGAGACCCTGGTACAGGAGCATCATAAGTGAGCTGTGAGCAATGAGAACATCGCCCAACCTTTCCCCAGGCTGGGAAGTATCATCACGCCCTGCACCACCATCCCTGTCTCCCTACAAAGGATTTTCCTGGAGGCCAGTAGAAAATAATCCTAAAAATTTAGAAATATTTGCCATTGGAGTACATATATGAAATATTTCTTCTTTGGGACTATCCTATCAGTAGCATTTTATTAAGTTTACCAGTCTATCTCAGTTTTGGCTTTAATTGTAGTTAGTTATTAAGTGCTGGGAAACCCAAATACTTTACCTGTAAGACTTGAACAAATGGAAGCCATCCTTACCCTTGAAATGAGTGGAGATCCAGTTAGCATGGCCTAATTCCAAAGAACACAGTAATTAGCTTTCCACAAGCAAAGGAAGAAAGAATGTTCAATTTCAGCATGCAAAGTCAACATATACAGCCAAACACAGTGACACATGACTGTCATCCTAGCTCTGGGAAGGTTAAGGCAGGAAAATTGTGAGTTTGAGGCAAGCTGAAGCTATAATCTTTTTTTTATATTAATTACAGTTTATTCATTTTGTATCCCGACTGTAGCCCCCTCCCTCATTTTCTCCCAATCCCACCCTCCCTCCACTGATAGGGGAGGTCCTCCTTCCCTTCCATCTGACCCTAGCTTATCAGGTCTCATCAGGACTTGCTGCACTGTCTTCCTCTGTGGCCTGGCAAGGCTGCTCCCTCCTCAGGGGGAGGTGATCAAAGAGCCAGCCACTTAGTTCATGTCACAGACAGTCCCTGTTCCCTTTACTAGGGAATTTACTTGGATACTGAGTTGTCATGGGCTACATCTGAGCAGGGGTTCTAGGTTATCTCCATGCATGGTCCTTGGTTGGAATATCAGTCTCAGAAAAGACCCCTGTGCCCAGATATTTTGGTTCTGTTGCTCTCCTTGTGGTGCTCCTGTCCTCTCCAGGTCTTACTATCTCTCCCTTCTTTCATAAGATTCCTTATACTCTACCCAAAGTTTGGTTATGAGTCTCAGCATCTGCTTTGATACACTGCTGGATAGAGTCTTTCAAGGTCCCTCTATGGTAGGCTCCTGTCCTGCTCTCTGTTTTCTCCTTCTTCCAATGTCCATCCCGTTTGTCTTTCTGGATGAGGATTGATCATCTTACCCAGGGTCCTCCTTCTTAGATTAGCTTCTTTAGGTGTACAGATTTTATCTATAATCTTGATGATTAGAAAGAATCCGTTTATGTAAAAGCAGTAATGTATGTGCCTCCAGAGATCTGATGTGAGTCATGATCCTCTCAGAACCAGTGAGTCTTTTGGCAGGTTCTTACTTTCCCATAGCCTATTTCCTCATCCACGAGCTAGAACAATGCCTCCCTTACATATCTTCTCTGAGTACAGTGAAAATTAAACCCCGTGATCTAGATAGTACTCCTCCTGCTGCAATGGCCCTCTCAGATGCAGGACTTTCTCTTGGAGTGATATCGGTGACCATCCATTCACTAAGAGGTTGAGAGGTTTTATATGAAAGACTGAACCTGCTTCTCCCCATAATTGAACCCTTGTTTATGCTTGTTGTCTCACTAATCCAGTAAGATGTCCTTTACCAGTTAGTTTTTCGTGGATGTTTTCCTTAAACTTACCTTCCTCCATGGCAGAGATATCTAATCCCAACACCAACTCAGCATCACTAATGCTCCCTTTACTAACTCACCCCACTAACCTCTATCAACAGCAGAGGGGGAGAGAGAGAAACAGATAGATAGATAGATAGATAGATAGATAGATAGATAGATAGATAGA